CCCACTAAAAATAAAAAAAGGCAAGTCTTTGTTTCTTGTTGGTGCAAACTAGAGATTGGAATTGGTCAAAAATTTGTCGGTCATTTTTTTTTTGAACAATTAATCATTCAATAATCCGTGCAACAAACAATATTTATAAATAAAATACAAGCTCTTTAATAACGTTAGGACTTAATATTAAATTAGTTCGTTTTATAGTAATATTATTTATTACCTACATCACTAAATAATCTTTCATTAGCCACTTCCATCCTGAACTTGATGTTGTTTGACTGAAGTTGATTTTTTAGAACTTCCTTAATATTGAATGGTGAAGAAATATTCCATGTACCAAAATTGGGCACAAATATTTCTAAAAAAGAATAATTTAAACAACATTTTTTCGATTAATTGATCATTACTTTTCGAAAAATTAATTGAATTAACCTTTGACTGATTAATTGAAAAATTATCTTTTTAATTGATTAATCGTTTTTTGACCAATTAATCAATTCCAATCTCTAGTGCAAACTGGGACCAATTTGATGCTTGTTTTCGAAACTGATTCAAAATTGGGACTGATTTGATACCTGTTTTAACTTCGAAACCGGTCCAATTGTTTCATCTTTACAAGTGAGATCTTGAAATAAAGAAATCTATATATACCTTTTTGGCCATGATATAAATAATTTAATATTAACCAAAAATGGAACGTTAGTTTGACTATTGCATTAGATAATCTATAGAAATCAATGATCTTTGTGCATAATTTTATATGTAAAATCGAAGAAAAAAATCACTCGGGTATACACAAACCTACCCGATTTAACCAAGATTGTTCCTTGAATTGCAAAAAATAAAAATATGAGAAATAATTGATTTTTGGAAAATGTTGTAATCTTTTGTATATATAATTGTTTTGAAACTGATTAATAAGAGGTTCCATTTTAGCTAGTTATGGTTCTATTTTTATCATCTGATTTTATTAATATAGGTTATTACTATAAGAGCAAAAAAATTGTAAACGAT